GTAGCTAGCGGTCCTGCTTGTCCTGCCCAGCAGGACTAAAAATTTCCCCAAATTTCCGTACTAAAGCATTGCTTTATTTATCTTGAAGCTTTAAAAATTTATCATTATCATATTGTTATTTTGTCTCATTTTCTCGTCTTTTTCGTTATTATTTTTTAAAAAGTTTTTCGCATTCTGTTATATTTACGCAATTTTACAGCTTGCCGTGTCTGTTACCTAGCAACTGCAACTCTACATTGATTTACACGCGACTCGTATTTCAGTCCTGCCATTTTCAAATGGCAGGACTTGCTAGTATATTTCATAGTAAATTCATACAAGAAATCTTGGTTTCTGATTGGATAATTAGGTCTGCGCATGCTCAAACCGACTGTTTACAAATGCGAAGTCCTGCTCTCTCGAAATGGCAGGACTTGGCCTTGTATTATCTTTACTTGCGAGCTTTCCGCGTGACTAAACCCACTTTTCACTAATTCTGTCGAGATTACTCAAGTTATGAATATGGAAATCAACGAGTGTGGAAGCCCAATGTGATTTTGATATAATTTCTGGCTTCTGCTAAGATATTTTAGCTCACGAAATGCATGTGAACAGACTCGACTGATGATTGTGTATTTTCATAATACAATATATTAAATGGGGAATACAAACTTCATTTGTGAAGCCTGTCGTATTGATATAAAGTAAGAACGTGATATTTACTGCCAGTTCATCTGCTTTGTGCATTTGAAACGAGCACTTATATGGAGTTTAATTTTAAAAATGATATACTGTACCAATTCACACTGTTTATGTAGATATTTGGCCGCATAGACTATATTAAACGCTATATTATTAATACCATAGGCATAGGGTACTGAATTACATTCAGAGTGCCAGGCGTAGTGATCTGTCACATTACTAACAAACGTAGTGAATTTTTAACGAATGCTAGCCGTAGCGTTATAGTGTATAAAACGCCGTGTTCAACAGTATAATAGTTATGCAATTGTTGATTATTTGAGGTTGGATTGTTTTGTGTTGATCAAGTGAAAGATCGTATTACAGACGCGTATTGTATACATGATATTTTCCTCTTTCGTGACTTGACTATATTTAGCTACATTTTCAGTTAAGCTGAAAAATATATAGTGAAATATAATAAAAAATGCATGGATTTCAAAAAGTTATAAATTTTTTTTCTAAAAAAATTATCAAAAATTTTCCGCTAATCACGCAATTTTTTGATGTTCCCTTTGGAGTATTTCGCCGTGAAATCGCAGGAAATGGCCATTCCAGACTTCTAAAATTCAAAATTTCAAGGGGGAGCATGCCCCCGGACCCCCCTAGAATGAGTGGGTCTTAGAGCAGGACTAGTCAAATTTCGCTAGCTACGCCACTGTATACAGGTGTATCAAATGTACACACTTTCAAATTCAAATTAGCCATAACCTTTTAAATATTCGTTGCTCACTTGCTCTACAGTAAATCTTATGCAGACTTTTTCTTTGAGTTGTGTATTTGTTCAAAGTACAAATAGAAGTTATCCTAAATTCCCATGTGTAGAAGACCTTGTGTTTTCACGCATTCATTAATTCGAGAAATTATACGGCTGGCAAATTTAATAGAAATACATGCATGCAGTATTAACCCCTCGCCAATATTTTCCAAACATTAAATTAACATGAAGTATTCACAAATGGCCGACACTGAACGCAGGCTCGCGCTCAAGTGTTGCCATGACAACACGATATCTTAAATTTTTTAAAAAAAAATAAAAACCAAGCATGAGAAACAGAAACAAAAAAAATTTGTGCATCAAAAATGTTTGAAAAATAAAGTCATGCAGAGACTTTTCAATAGGGAAAATTAGAAGTTGAAATTAAAACAAATTCGTGCAAGAGATCAATTAAAAAAATTATCGACACAAGCAAAAAAATTTAAAAAATATTCCTACAAGTTCAAAAAGCCCCCCCCCCCCCATCAGTTTTCTAATGGCCCGCCCCTAACAAAGCTTGGAACATTTAGCCTGATTTAGGCATGCAAGCATACGACAAGTAGAATAAATATATTTCAAGCTGAAAAGAAGAGCATTCTTTGGAAAGCAACTGTTTAATAATTAAGTTTTTACAAACTAAGGCGCTATTTGAACATTTGAAAACGAAGATGTACACAGTTTTTAAACTGTAAGGATTTTTTACTAAGTCTAAGATAAAACCATAACAACAAATGTTTAAATTTTAAGTAATAAAAGTTGAAAAGACGAAAACTGAGCAGTTTTCAGTGTAGTTTAACTTCAGTTTGCATGCAGTTCGCCGAAAAAGCCGTTCAATTCACTTTACAATAGTTTAAGTGTTCTAAAAAGCGTTTCTATAGCTATACATGGAAACAACGTTTTAACACAAACTAAAGTAGAATAGTAAGTTATTTTATAATAATAACAAACTTACCAAGTCCAAGGTAACAGGTTATTGTTTTCTTTCACCGTGAAAAGAATGATTTAAGTTTTTCTCGGCGAGCGGTCCATTTTAGCAGTCCGTATTGCAGGTTACCGACCGCTCAGGAACCAATCAAAATGCTGCATTTTGCAATAGGACAGCGCCTTGCCGTGCAATAAGTGTAGGAAATCACACGGTTCGAGAAGTATTAATGAAAAATCGCACGTCTGTTTAAACCAAATATTTCGAGAATAAGTGTAATTTCCTATTGATATCATTTTAGTTAATTCATACGATTAACCAAAGACAATAAACATTGTACTAATCGAGGTATTAATGTATTCAAGGAAGCACAGCAGTAGGCGCGCCTTTGGCTTTGTAAAACAATTTTAAGCTGAGTAATTTCTATCATTAATTTCCAAATCGTACCTGCATGTAAAAATTGTGAATAATTTTTATTTCATCTTTGTCTTCTTTACTTGACAATAAATAAGAGCCCAGTGCATGATAAGAGCTCAAAGAATATAAATTTTCACGTTGCTTAACTAAACTGTTTGTCTGTTTGTGTTGAAATTTCTGCGGCCCACTGCATGGGCGTCCAGAATTCCAGCGGAGAGGGTCGTCGCGAAGAGGCTTAAGCAGGGGTGGTGGTTTGTGGTATTGCAATTTTCCGACAAAAGTTAAAATTTTGCAGACAATATGTGTCGACGGGGGGGGAGGGGGTTGAGCCGGTCAAATTTGATTAGACGACAATGTTAAAATCGCCAACAAAATCCCTCGTTTTCCCGACAAGATGTTTTCAGGTGATGTCACCCCTTAGCGTCGGCCCTGCCCGCGGGTTCGCATGCGTGGCGCTTAGGCGTGCCGAATAATGCTTAATCGGCACAGATTTTAGCCAAACAGAATGAGTAAATATTGACTGAAATGATATTATTTGCGATAGGAACAGTTGTAACCACTATTAGATTGTTATTGTTTATGTTATTAGGTGAAATTGACAATTCCCTTGGGTCCTTACACTCTCTCATTGACCCTCATCACTGATACTGACAACATTGTCATGTGCTTCAACTCTTACGTTGGATAACTGACTATCATTTCCATTTTCCTGTGGCTCAGTAGGTTCCTCTGTGACCTTCTTAAATACTCCCGCTTCTTCTATAGTCTCAGCTAATCTCATATTCAATGTCTCAGGCAGGAATAAGGCAAATGTACCAGTCAATAACATACATGAACCAAATATAATGAATGGGACGTAGTCTTGTGTCTTTTCACCCTAAAAATATAGGATACAAAAAATTAATTGTTTTGCATATTGCATGAAACTCTGGTCACAGTAGCCAACGGAGCTTTGGCCGTATTTGGGGGGCAGAAGCCGCAGAACTATACGGGGTGAAGCTATATAGAAATCATACTATACTATTTTGTAATACACTGACAGGTAGTGTATAACACTATTAATAACATTAATATTGGCAACGCCTATAAAACGGCTATTCTATAAATACTGCTATGCAAAATTCCCATTGGTGGAGAGTCACTTTGATTGACAGGTAGTGTAACACTCTCTTTCAATCAAAGTGACTCTCCACCAATGGGAATTTTGCATTGCTAAGACAACGCAAAAATACAAGATAGTACAGTATGTTGGCTGGCCGTATTTCTAGCTTCAGCCCGCGTAAGCTCTGCCCTTGGATACGACCAAAGCTCCACAGCTGTGGTTATAGAGGTTTAAAAAAAAAACTCGGAAAATTTAATAGGGAATCAATGTATGGAGATTTTGCATTGTCAAACAAGCATGCCATTTATGCGTCGATCCTATGCAAATCCTAAGATATTTTCTAATAAAATTTTGAAATTCATGTTGTTTTTAAAAATAGTGCCATTGCCACAGTTTTCCAAATAAAGCCTCCAAATATTTTGTACATAGTATCTGTGGTCTGCTCTTTTCATTGTTAGTGTGTATATTGTTATAACATCAATTGTAACTCAACTAAAAAAAGATCTATATTCTTGGCTTGCACTTGACGTAATGGCGGCCATGTTGCAGGAATTCATACAAAACCATTATAGTTCAATGTACAAAACTGGCAAAAGAATATCATTACCAGCTAATGTATTTGGAGCGTGTTTTCCTCCAACATGGCCGCCGTATTTTTGTCTAATAAATCTCAAGGGATTGATTGGAACCAACCGATACACTGATGTAAATTTATATATACTAATCATTTAAAGTTACGAACCAACAGCAAAATTTGTGGTGCAACAATGTTTCCGACTCTTGCGCAAAATACTCCAGTGCCAAGACCAACATTTCTATATCAAATAATGTGAAGAGTTCCATCAGTTCTGAATCATTTATAATAGTTAACAATTATAATTGAATGTAGTTGAACAAGAGTACAGAATTATCCAGGATGAAGTTTGTGTTATCAACCGTAGCCGAAGGCAGAAGGCTTAGGTTGATAACACATACTGAGCCCGGCTTGATAATTCTTCATGTCATGCGAAAACCGAAATTCAGTAATTGTTTTATTATTTATTTGAGTGTATAAAGGACGTCCGTATAGGTACCTTCATAAAAAAATCAAAATATTTTCATAGTTTACCTCAACGTTTGTCTAGATATCGCAATTCGAATCTTCATAGGCACGGTAAAAAAGCGTGTGCGGAAAATTTCTCTTCTTTAGTGGTTTTTCTGATATGCCCTGATTCTTGGATTTGTCATTGATAATTCACGAAGTTGTCAAAAAAACGTCATATCAGAAAAACCATTGAAGAAGAGAAATTTTCCGCACACGTTTTTTACCGTATCTTTCTCAAATTCATTAATAATTCATGAGTAAATTAGCCAATGATAATCACCTATTTGATCACAAGATGCCATTTGGATACTTGATGAAAGTCACTGGTGTTTTCATCAAATATCTTAATTACGCATGCAAAATTACTTGAATAGAATTCCTAATTACGTTATGCTTGGTTAAGAACTCTATTCAAATCAGCAAACGAAAACATTCTGTTACGTCTCGATTCATTTGAGAAGCCATATAAACAACTCGAGCTCGTGTCTCACCGGGATATCCAAACACTCGAAAACAATGTATGAAAACACTCGCGCTTCGCGCTCGTGCTTTCATATATTGTTTTCTCGTGTTTGGATATCCCGGTAAAACACTCGCTCTCGTTGTTCATATATTACATGAAGATTCAAATCGAGATATGTATAGACAAACGTTGCGGTAAACTGTAAACATATTTTGATTTTTTTTATGGGATACCTGTATATTTTTTAGTCGGCCAATACTGGACATGTTTAAACAGAACACTCATCAAATAAAGATTTGGTAAAGTTGCACCTAAAATTCATTACGCCATGTTCAACAGACTAAAACGCACGTTCATCATGTGAAGTAACCATAAGAAATTTTAAAACCTTTCCTAGTTGTTTTCGTCGATCTTTCTTCGTTATATTTTAAAATTTGCTTTCTTAAATCCTCCATATTGTTTTGGTTTACGTATACTCATGCATGTGGTACTTGACTGAGAACAATACACCCTTCCGATAATTACGTCACACATACAGTACTTTTTGGTCTTGGTTAAGTTTCCACATTTCGTATTTGTGTTTCCACAGCATGACGGCATAATGTTGATGACTTTTTCATAATATCAACATAATGACGTCATAATCGGAACATGATCTTTCCATATCAACATGGGATCATTCTGTAGGTAAGAGATTCTGATATTAAAGAAATCACCTTATTACTGTTGGATATAATTCTGAAGTGTATATGAAAATAACGGACCAAATCCCACCAATGCAGACTCTGCCACATAGAGCAAAAGCAGTCGTTAATTTTCTCAGCGCATCTATTAAAAAATGCAAAATAGTTAAGTTTGATACTTTCCTGAAACTATTGCAATGCGCAGGGCCTATTCTATTTTGATTGATTGAACACTATTGTGCACTATTGAACATTTGAAATTTGGATTTTCAACTTATTACGAGACACTGCTATGGCAACGTGCAATCATTTTGTATTACAAACGGGAAATTGACAGCCCCAAAGGGTATTGGGCTGTCAATTTCCCCCGCGTAATGCAAAATGACTGAAAAACGGCAAACTTCGCAAGGCTACATTATCCGCATTTTACAACATTTTGCAACGAAACTTTGGAATATTACTAATTTTGTGATGCTCTTTCAAGCTGTGATGAAATTTTTGTCTAGACTCGTTGAGATCAAAACTTTGTCTATTAGGCAAGTGGTCAATTGTGTCCTCACTTCGCGGTTTGATAACAATACAAACACAGCCATGAAGTACCCGGTGACGAAGTTGATCAATATATTAGAAATTTGAACAAGTATTATAATTTTAAAACAGGTAAATGTTTTCGTCAAAAGTAATAGTACTAGTGTCAGTATGGCTTTGATGAGGACAAGGTTCCTCACGCTGAGAACAAGGTTCCGCACGCTGAGGACAAGGTACCTCACGCTGAGGACAAGGTTCCTCACGCTGAGGACAAGGTTCCTCACGCTGAGGACAAGGTTCCTCACGCTGAGGACAAGGTTCCTCACGCCGAGGACAAGGTTCCTTACGCTGAGGACAAGGTCCCCCACGCTGAGGACAAGGCTCCTGACGCTGAGGACAAAGGTTCCTGACGGTGAGGACAAGGTTATGCATTGAGGACAAGGTTCTCACGTTGAGGACAAGGTTCTTCAACGCGAGGACGGCAGATTCATAACACCGCGCCACACCCAGAGAAACGATCTTCATCCTCAGTTATCAAAATGTGTATTTTAAAACAGTTCTTAAATTGAGATTTGCTGTCTTTAAAATTTTTTATAAAACTCTCCAAAATAGAAGGTCGCAGACACTTCGTCGCAGACACTTCCGTATCTTTGCAAATGCAAAAAACATTGTCATGGACTCAGTTTCTTCCACATCAGTGAGCATGAGCACTATTCTAAATTGCCTTAAATGGCGATACGCGATCTCTGCAGTGTGCAGTATTGAAACATTCTTAAAGTAGATCCTCGTAATACGCATGATCGGTTGGATTACCTGTATCTTTAGATAATACACCAGCCAAGATACAACTTATTCCTCCAGCGACAGCGTAAAAACTCATTGGTTTCTGCCGACCAAATCTAAAGATAAACATGCACTCCGTACTATACTATCCTGCTAGGGTCGTCGATCCGCTTATTTTTCCAGCATTATCAGCTGAAATTTTAGACATGCAAATATAACCTCCATTTCTAATTTTGAATATTAGCTCTCCAATATGGTGTCGTCATTTTACCATAATTTACACAGTGCAGGTACTGTATTAAAAAGTAAAAATTCGCAAACAAGGAGAATTTAAATGTATTTGCTGCACTTTTGCAAAAATGATGACACTACATTGAATTGAAGAATTAATTTATTAAAAAAGTAGAAATAATCGTATCTAAAATTTCTGGTAATATTTTACTATACATGACGAAACTGGAGTGACTTACTTCCCTATGACGTAAAATGTGACCAGCCACGTCATAGCAAATTCCAATGCTCCACTTATGAAGAAATTTAGATATTTATTTCCAGCTAGGCGTGAAACACTCAATACAAGACCTAAATATCCAAATGATATGGAAAACCTGAAATTAAATAAAATATAATAAACACGTGATAAGGGATGAGGCTGACTGGACCTCTAGAAAGAACAGTTTAGAACTGATAGAGTTAGCCATTCCTATATAAATAAATTAAAGTTAGTTTAGATTAAGTTTCCTCCCGTAGTAACACTGGATCAATAAGAAATGCTCCTGCATCAGGACTTCTAATAGGAACAGTTCAGAACTGATAGACCTGTCCGGTCTAAATTAAGTTAGTCATTTAAATTTCCTCTCATAGTAACACTGAAACAATGAGGGGTGACCATTGCAACCCCTCCAGGTATATAAATAAGGATAGTTAACTTTAGAGTAACTATCCTCCCGTTGTAAAACTGAATAACGGAGTTTGGGACTGCTCGTGCCGATCCAGCATAAATGACATACCATATTAATCCCAGAATAAGTGAGCGTTTCCTCAAAACAGGATATCTTAACAAATCCAAAACTGTGTAACTTTTCTCCACATTTGTTTCCAACTTCCTACTACTTTCAACCGTTTTATTAAACTCCTTTTCAGGAAATGGTTGCTTGTTAAATGTTGCAATTCTTTGGACCACTTGTTTTGCCTCTTCACTACGGCCTTTGATTAGCAGCCAACGGATTGATTCTGGTAAGAACCTTCAAGTGTATTTATTAATTAATAGACTGTACTGTTTATGGCACTCTTGCCAAATGACGAAATTTCAGGAGTTTGATGTAAATTGGGGCATTACCCTGTCTCTTTCTCCTGTTGTCACTGTAAGAATGATAACTAATTTAATAGATCGTTTGCACGCATTCCCCAGGGGCCAACTCTGCAAAAGCCATGGCAGCCATGTTGGTGTTCCAGACAAAAGAGTCTAATTAAGATTCTTTTCAATTGCAACACCAACATGGCTGTGACTTCATGTGCAAACGGCCAAACGCTCTACAGGGTGTATAAAAAAAAACGCAACCTCGGAATTTCCTAAGAAATCACTTTGCAATTCTTAAGCATAAAAGATTTTAGGCCCCTGGGAATTGAAATCGAATTGCTAATAGATCATATTACTGTTGTTGTGCATTAAATAAAT